GTCATATATTCATTGAGATGCAGTCCGAGAGCCGCCGCCTCAGCCTATAGCGCACCTCACCACGCCGGAACGCCTTTATTCTGACAGCGAAAGCTATTGCAGTCAACTTCTTCGTCGCGGCCGCGGTTTTCCGCTGTACATCCCCGCCCCAAGAGGAAATCTTCCCCCAGAGTATGGCTATCGCGGTGTCTCTATCGGAGACGTCGGCAGGGTCACTCCGGAGGGGGTTTTCGACTTTCTTTTCAACATCTACCTCCCCGCGGACCACCCAATCAACGACAACGACGTGCCTGAAAACCTTTCTCCGTTGGCGCCGTACGACTCGAAGAATGTGCTCCCGATTGAATATCTAGCGGGCCAGCATGTCTCGACGTCCGCTGTCCATAAGGTCGATTTGGGGCTCTCTGACGAGTATGTAGCTTTCCATTCCACCCGCGTCACGGTGTGTCTGACCATTCAATTAGCGGGGACTCCGGAGCATTTGTCTTCGATTGTCTGGGGCCCCAGGGTGCAGTACTTGCTCTCCCCCTCGGATCGCGCATCGAAAGACTGGATCGTTTCGGAGACATGCTGCAATATACGCGTCAGAACGCGGAAAGCTGGTACAGATACGTCAACGGCGCTCGCGGATGCCAACTTTCCAACGGCTCATTGTATCTTATCACTGGGTGGGAGAAGGCACGCGCTTGGGGCATGTCCACATTCCAGGAAATCCCTCCCACACGTTACCCGTTTCGGATATCTTTTGAACCGACTTTCATCAACTCGGCCTCTGGCTCGCAGAAATCGTACCGATGGACTACATCAGGGGCTACTCAGACGAAAAGTTCGGGACCCGTTGCGATGGACCAAACACCTCTCAATCAGACCGTGTTCATACACGGATTCTCCATTTCGCTCGGAACGAGCATATGGTCCAGATTATTCGGAACAGTGGAGGTCGCTCCGATCGTTGATGCTCAACTCGGGCGGAGTACCAAGGAATACATCCCATACGGGACACAGGGATTCAGCAAGTCCTGGGGTGGTTTTGGCTCGTTCTGGGGTAGTGGAGGAGCTGGTGGGCATGATTCTGGCGTCGCTCTCTCTGATATCTCACCCACACAAGCTGTGAGTTTCATCCCCAAAAATGGCGATGATCATGAATTTGACACGATTTTCCAGCTTTTCCACCCTTCACAAATCATGAACGCGTATCTCCTCCGCATGGTTAGTCTTTGATCCCCCACTGGTGTATTGTCTCAACCGAGTCAACTCAGTGTCCCGATGCAGCAGTCATCATGACCCACGACGACGATTGGCGCGAAATTCTTCGAAGCGGACACATTCCTTCTGTATGCCCGATCACACACTTGCTTCTGAGGATTTTGCTTAAAATATACAGGATTCTTCGGACTGGGATGCTCTACAACTTTTGCTGCGGGCTTGTCAAGAATCCAGCGTTCGAGAAGAAAACGGCCTCGCTGTGTTCAGCCGTTCAACCTCCAGGGATACTCCTCGATACTCGGTCCCTGGGGGTCCTCCAGAAGTGCTATTGCGTGACTCATGGCGGCATGGTCCACTAATAACAGGACGTGCAAGCATGGCATCTTCGTCGGCCATCCGCAGATCGTCGACCTTCCGCAGATCGTCAACCTTCCGCAGAGTCTCTGAGCCGCTTTTATCATTCTCAATGTCTCCCAGAGCGGCGGCAACACCCCTTGAATCACACGACTCGTATGAATCTGGGCAGGCAAGCGGAAGCCACTCATTCGTGGTTCATTCTCAGTCAGAAGAGAGGCCAGCCGGAACTAGTCATGCGGATTTGGCACACACCCAACCTCAATATATGACGGACGAGGTCGTCGACGGAGAGCCCCACCTCGGTGGCACCGGAATCAGCTACAACCCGTACCTGGCGCCGACGCCAAACCCCTCACTAATTACGACGTCCTCCTGGACGGACGCCGTAGCAGCACACTCGGCCTTCGATGACCCGGCCACCAGGTACAACCCATATCTGCCGCCAAATCCTTTCGTGTCTGCAACACCCTTCCCTGTGGGATTCGAGCAAGATTCCCCGCCCATGGAGAGCCTCCAGCCGGCGAACGACGATGCTGAGAGCCTCACTGGGCCAGTTGGCCACTCCTCGCCAGCACCCGAAGTACCTCATCCGGAGAAGGATGAAGATCAACTTCCCCCGGAGGAAAAGTCGAATTGAACGATTGGTTTTTGTGAGTAACCTTTCTCCTCTACATATGGCGGTACGCCGTCTAATGTACTTGCAGGCAATAGATTGTTCTGTTGTTTTTGCCAGTGCTGTCCCTGACTCAATCCAATATTGTCTTGCTATCCTTTTCAGTTTACTCCATCCCGTCATTGTTTTCAACTCGACCGTCCTTGGCAAGAGGCCTACCGAGGATTTCAACTGCAGTTGAAACTTTGAAGATTCAACTTGTTCAGACTCACTACTTTCTGACGGGGATGGCAGATGCACATCTTCAGTCCTGAACGGATCGGATTGATCACCCGAAGTAGTAGTCAATTCGAAACAATTCTTATCTTACAGACAACGTGGGGTAAGAAGCCCACTCCCAGCGAGTAGACAGACGAGTATCAAGCTTGGGAGAGCCGGTGGTTCGATTCCACTCGTTGATGTGTATAGTCGGCGTGCCAATACTTTTTTCACTCACGCATCGACACGCACCCGAGGACACGTCTCGCATTTACATGACACTGCGCACAAGCTCGTCCTCGCAGAAACTCACATCGATGATGACCTGACAAGAAAAGGCGGGTCGGTCACTCTTGAGCTTAAGGCCTTGCCGAATTGAAAGAATCCAACAGTCAGCGTGGGGTAAGAAACCCGCTCCCAACAGTTAGGTCGCAACGCTCCGTTGGGGAGAGCTGGTGGTTCGACTCCACCCGAGGACATGATCGGAGTTCCTGATTTTTTCTTCCTTGACTCGCGCACTGACACACCTGAAACTATCTCTCGCTTCGACCTCCGCAGAACATCCACTCACCCTCCGCCCAATTCAAACCACGACGATAGCCAAAGCAAAATCCAATCAGTCACTGCTCTTACCTAAAGTCGAATTTGAAGCAGTATCCAATAGTCAACGTGGGGTAAGAAACCCGCTCCCAAATGGTTGATCAATGCAAATTGCTCTGGGAAAGCTGGTGGTTCGAATCCATCCGTGGACAATGTCATGGCCTGAGGCGTTTTGAACATTTTTTGACTCATTCGTTGACAGTGGACGCGCACCTGAAGCTACTTCTCGCATTGCCGGCATGGTCACGTAGTACGTACTCGAGTCTCGCAGTGCGCACTCCGCACAAACCGCCAAACAAACCCAGTCGGTCACACTTACCCAAAGTCGATTTAGAGCAGTATCGTCAACGTGGGGTAAGAAACTCGCTCCCAAATAGTACCGGGAGACGTCCGAAGCGCATATGGGGGAGAGCTGGTGGTTCGAGTCCACCCGAGGACATGAGGAGATGATTGGGTTCCTTTATTTTTTTCTTGACTCATGCGTCGACACACCTGAAGCTACGTAGCTTATACCGCTCGCTTCGACCTCCGTGGAACCGTACATACTCACACTTATGAGTCATGATTATAGCCAAACGAGAACCCAATCGGTCGCTACTCTTATCCAAATTCGAATTGAAGCGTTATCCAACAGTCAACGTGGGGTAAGAAACCCGCTCCCAAATGGTTGCTCAATGCGAACTGCTCTGGGAAAGCTGGGGGTTCGATTCCATCCGTGGACAATGCCATGGTGTTGGGCGTTTTGAACATTTTTTTACTCATGCGTTAACAGTGGACACGCACCCGCATTGACTAGTACGTACTCGCAGTGCGCACTCCACACAAACCGCCAAACAAAACCCAGTCGGTCACACTTACCCAAAGTCGATTTAGAGCAGTGTCCAAGAGTCAACGCGGGGTAAGAAACCCGCTCCCCAATAGTATCTCCAAACGTGCGAAGTGCATATGGGGCAGAGCTGGTGGTTCGAATCCACCCGTGGACATGAGGAGGCGACTGGAGTCCTTGATTTTTTTGTCTTGACTCATGCATTGGCACTGGCACACCTGAAGCCACCTCTCGCATTGACACTCTGTGGGACCGTACATACTCAGACTCCGCCCGACATAATAGCCAAAGGAACACCCGATCGGTAGCTGCTCTTACCCAACTTCGAAGCAGTACCCAACAGTCAACGTGGGGTATCCCAAATGGTTGCTCATGGCGAACTGCTCTGGCCCGGGGAAAGCTGTTGGTTCGGTTCCGCCCGTGGACATGCTGTGATGCGCTAGGCTATCTTTTTGGCTCATGCATTGACACGCCACAAGACACGCCTCCGAGGTCCCGGGACGCATCGGTGACGCTTGCCCAAAATATATATCCAACAGTCAACGTGGGCTAAGAAACCCACTCTCAGATGGTCGGCAAGAATGAAGAAGTCTTGGGAGAGCTGGTGGTTCGATTCCACCCGAGGACATGTGATCATCAAATAGTCCCCCAATTTCTTTTTGACTGAAGTATTGGCACACTGGTGAGACTCCGGCGAATTCAACTCCGCCCCCGTACCCGTAGAGAGCGTGTCGTGCATTGACACGCACCTGAGGCTACCTCTCGCATTGACACTCATAATACTAGCAGCTACAAACACACACTCTGCGCCACCTTGAAACACAATATTTAATAGCCAAACGAAAACCCAATCGGTCGCTGTTCTTACCCAAAGTCGAATTTGAAGCAGTATCCAGCAGTCACCGTGGGGTAAGCAACCCACTCTCAGATGGTCGCGCGGAAACAAGGGTCTTGGGAGAGCTGGTGGTTCGAATCCACCCGAGGACATGGAATGACCATCAAAATCTTTTTGACTGACTCAATCAGACACGCACTCTCGCATTGACACTCGTTATTCTACAAACACACAACCCGCATGAATCCAAACCACGACTCGGTCCCTACTCTTACCCAAAGTCGAATTTGAAGCAGTATCTAACAGTCCCCGGGGGGTAAGCAACCCACTCCCAAATAGTAACGCCGAATAGAATATGTTGGGGAGGGCTGGTGGTTCGAATCCACCCGGGGACAATCACAGAGAAAGGTTTCCAAGTTTTTTTGACTGTTCGCACCTCGCACTCTCCTCTCGCACTCACTCCTCACCCTCAAAACACGAAGATGGCCAACAGTAACTTGGGGAAAAAATACTCATTCCGATCCAATTACAAATTAAACCCACCCCTCCCTCCTCTGAACCCCCCTCGCACTCGCAACAGAATAAACACTCCCCACACTCTCCCTCGCAACCATCGGCGGTCTCTTTATCTTGATCACCCTCAAAGCCTCCGTCTCACGATCCCGGAATCGCGCCCACCCAGCCTCCCTCCGTTCCCTCGCCATACTCGGCGCACGCGTCAGCCTGTCATCATCCTCTACCACCGGGCTGAGGCTGCCTCCGCCGCTGCCGCCAGTAACAGTCTGCAACGCACCAAATACACTCGCACGTAAAGCCTGTCCCCAGCCTTCCTGCTCCAACTCTGGCTCCTGTGGCTGCTGCTCGGCGGGCGGTAGATCTTGACCATGATCATAATTGCGCGGTGCACCCTCCAGCTTCCTATACGCCTCCCTCACCCTCTCACCCCGATAATCACCCTCCCCATATGCATCATCCGCTGCATGCCCATTAGCAACCCACAACGGACCCAAAGTAGCCGCACTATGCAACGTCGAGCGTACGCTCCCCGTCCGACTACTTGCGCGCGTGTGATACGTCCCAGTAGCAGCAGGATACGGATCCGCGTGTACGAGATGCGCAGGCAAAGGACGCGCGGTGGGATAAGGCCCTCCACTACCTCCAGCATTGGTTCTCGCTCCACGGGCAGGAGGGAGTGGGTACGCCATACTATCAGCCAGAGGACCGTCCGAGTACCAAGAACAGGCACCGTCGGCGAAGGGATTCAGAGCAGGGGCGGAGTACATGTGAGCTGGGTCGACCGATGCACGCTGCGGCCTCGGCCCGCCGAAAGGGTTGTTATACGGCATAGGAATATGTATACTGGAGCTGGGAGCAACTTGCGAGTGGGTCGTCGACGTCGATGCGTGCTGGGCGGCGATAAAGCTATCACTCCGCTTGGGTTCCCCAACATCGCGGTCGCCCGTGAGGGAATACATCGAATGCATCACAGGCGCGATCAACCCCCCGTGAGCATTTTCCTGGTCGCCCCCGCCCTTGGGATCCCAATCATGATCATCGACGACGGGGTCCCACCGAATCTTGTCTGCAGCACGGTGGCGCGTGGAGCGTATGCGGAGAACGTATGAGACGGTGACGCAGATGCAGGCGAAGCCGATGACCGCGCCGAGGGCGATGGCGGCGTCAAAGGGGACACCGTGCTCGAGGGTTTGGGGGCCGTCATCTTTGCTTGATGCAGAGGGCGAGGCGAGGGCGAGGGGTGAGGAGGTGGGCGAGAGGGATGACGACGATGACGATGCCTGGGTTGTGCTCGAGGTGAGGACACTCGAGAGGTACGTCGAAGAGGAGGAAGGTAGCGAAGAGGAGGGTAGCGAGGAGGACGGGGTAGATAGCGTCGTCGAGAGCGTGGACAGCGAGGAGGAGGTCAGGGACGCCGCCGTCGAGAACATGAACTCGCTCGTGAAGGACAGCGTTGCAGTACTCGCCAACACCGACGGTACTTGCTGAGGTGCCTGAGGCGCATCGTACTGAGGAGCGACTTGCTGCTGTTGTGGTGGAGGCGGCTGGACGTAGTATGGGATGTCGGCCGACTCGCCCGAGCCGATTTCGAGTTCCAGCTGCGGCATGGGGTAGCGCGTGCGTCGCATGCCAAGGGGGAGTGGAGGGTTTTATTTTGGTATTCGGCGAGAGAGTGGATCAGAGCGTGAAAGCAGATCTAGATGGTGTGGGGTAGAAAGAAATGGGTCGACCTGCGACGATGAGGTGGAAGGAGAAGAAGAGATGCAGAAAGGAGGCTGACCTGATCGGCCTCGATCATCCCGCTCAGTTATCTCCCATCCTCTCCTCTGCGAGTCGTCCGAGACATTCGCGTGATTTGCGGATAACGTGCAGTGAGCTGGAAGCCCACTACGGTAATCGTGAAAGGAGCATTCTGCACGAAGAGAGAAGACAAAGAGAAGAGATGTGTATCGACGGATCAGTTCTCGGATTCCGAGGCCGGCACGCGGCGGCAGCCCAGCCCAACCGGCTGAGATTTTCATAACCTTCTCTTCCAATTTTCTGCTGTGCAGACCGTCTATGACTCGCGCCCTGCCATTGTCTTTTTATGCAAGACCAAGAACACTCGAAGAGCAAGATGCCGAGCGTGCCATCAGATCACTCCTGATCCTGATGTATTGCTCTATTTGTCCTCTCTTTCTTCTCATGCTCGCGTCGTTCCGCCGTATCCGTGCCCCTCGTCCTTCGTCGCCACTGCCGCCGCAGGCGATTCCCGCGATGTACCCTTTGCCGCTCCACGACCACCATCCGAGACCGTCATCGCTGACGCTACGTTGGGGCCTTCCGTTCCAGGTGTCTCAGCATTGCCCCAAGCTGACCCTATGGCGGGCTCTACCCCTGTCTACTCCTCATCGACGTCGGTCTCCGGCAAACTGGACAACTCTTTGTCATCGCCCGCTGTCTCTCCGGCGCCCCCATCTCACTCAAGCTCGCGCCGTAAAGCGGACGACTCCCTGCCCAAGTTGAGAGGGCTGTTCAACAGGAAAAACACCAAAGGAGGGTAATTGTTGGCGATTCATGATGCTGCATGGATAATATGTACTATTTTACTTTACTTGATGAGTTAGCGAGGTAGATTAGTTTCTAGTTTACCTGAGTCCAAACTTGGGCGTAGCTGACCAATATCATTGTATTTCTTGTATTTCTCACCACCATCCGATGACTCAATGGCTTGTTTCGGACCCTCCGGAAACCACGCTCAACAAACCACCCATCGCTTGGCCACGACGGTCCAGGGTCGCAAGCCCAAGCCCAGGTTCACAAAGTCGCCGTCCCGACACCGGTGTACATAAACAGGGCTCCTGGCTGATGCGCAACACCACGAACAGGCCGTCTTTCTTGCTCGTCATTTACGACAACGCCGCATCGAAATCAACGTGTGCCAGTGGAGTGTAAAACGAGATGGTCCATCGCTTTAGTGCTGGTGCACCGTGGACGTTGCGCGCGCGAGTGGAGGATGTGCAGGAGGTCAATGGTGTCAATGGTGTCAGTGAGTGAGTGAGTCCTCTCTCTCTTCGGGCGCATGTACATTCGGTTTGCTAAGTGTTTCCCGGCAGACTGACGTCCTACAAGCGCACACTCTCAGACAATGACTGTCCGTCGGTATACTATGTTCCCGACACCCTCGACGAAACCGACCTGCACCAAGGGCTCGTATACTGACTACATGTGTCGTCGTCCCGTTTTCGCTTCAACCCCTGTCTTATCACGACACCAACCACTCGAAACCCACGATGACGAGGAGGCTCTGGTTGAGGAGACACTCAAGTGCCTCACCGCGTGCGTGTTTATTCTCACCAATCTTCCTGTTCTCTCTTCTCACAAACTCTGTATCCGCGTGTTTCCCGAGGGCGCGAATGACCCAGACGACAACGACTCGGGCGGTGAAGATGACGACCACCCTACTACCAGCAAGGCTCTCCGCGCCGCTCACATTTCTGCGCAGAACGCTCGTGTTCAGCAACCGACGCCCATATTCGTCAAGCGGCTCAAGCCTCCCATGGAAACTAGATATTTTGTTTCTTCAAACCAAGGCATGTCCGGCTCGCTCTCCCTGCCCTGCTGATGCAGAGTTCACTCCTTCCCTACCACTCTCCTTCGTCTCGCAAGTCCATTTTTCGTTACCGCCGTCCTGTAGTACTTATGTGAATGGTTAGCATCAGGTCGGCTGAATACTCGTGAGCCTTGTAATTCTCGGTATGTACTCGATATTGTTACCCGCCGTTGCTCGACGAGTTTACAGTCCATCTTGATCGTGTTTGTCCTGGCTTGCAAGTAGAAACTGACCTTTTCTGGATTCTCTCCTATCCGCACGCGTGAGTTTGCGTTGATTTCCTTCGAACCTTCGCTTACTTCTATCTAGTTATAATGTGTACTTTCGCCTCACTCATCGGTACGTCCTTGGCATTCACCTCGTATATAACCTTTGCTGATTTTTGACCACTAGCCACCGACCGACGGAAGAACCCAACGCGCTTTTAGTAGTCGGCTCCTATGAGCTTTTGGAAGCCACTTACAGTGCGCGGGTTCAAGTGGGAGCTGACAAGGCGCTTGTAACGTGAAAGTCTGATGTCAAAACTTAAAAGGCCGTAGAAGCTTTTGACGACCGGCTGAGATTTTTCAATCAGCTCCCCCTCTACAGTGAACCGTCTATCATTCGTGCCCTTCCGTTGTCTTTTCATGCCAAAACACTGGAGGAGCAAGATGCCGAGCGTGCCGTGAGATCACTCCTGATGTTATGCTCTATTTGTCGTCTTTCTCTTCTCACCATCACCGTCTTCTTCCGATGTCCATCGCCTTATTTCAGACCCTCCGAGAACCACGCTCGAGGGAACCACCCATAGCGCCCCCGCTGACGGCGGTCCAGGGTCAGAGCTGAGGGCCTCAGGCACAGGTTCACAGAGTCGCCGTCCCGACGCCGAGTTGCTGTCAAGACTCAACGGCGACATTATGCCGCTACCGAATAAATACTCAGCCAGAGCTCATTGAAGGAAGTATCGATCTATGGATCTCTTCATCCTCCTCCTCCTCGCTCCCTTCGCCACCGCATACATCTGGCCCTCCCCACAACTCGATGCGCTCGAATCCCTGCGCTTCGACCAACTAGGCTTCAACGGCCATTTCTTCTTCGACTTCCTCGACCCGTGTACGTTCGCGGCGGACGAGGTGCCCGCCGGCCGCTCTATTGCTGCGGATTGGATCCGCACGGCGTACCATGATATGGCTACGTTCAATGTTACGTCTGGCACTGGAGGCATGGATGCGTCGATCAGGTTTGCGGATGAACAGGCCCGGCCTGAGGTATGTGTGTTTTTGTCACCGATCTAGTCTCTGCTGATAA